AAATGTGTGCTGTTTAAAAACCTCGCGATTGCTGAACAAGGATAGGAATAGCATCGGACACTCTAAGACGCCATCTAGTTCGTAACCGCCTACATGACTGCCTGTGTTCAACGAAAAGCTGCAAAATTTGCCCTAACGGTAGAGACGGTGATTGCATGAGTTCGGGTACAGTCTGTCTGATCTCTTGTTAAGAGTGCGGGACGAATACGTTGGCGAAACGGGTAGACCACTCTGCGTCGAAATCTAAACTGAAACCAAGCACTCCACTAGGCACGCATGAGACACAGAAACATAATGGTGAAGACTTTGAAGTTGAAGTCACTATCCTAGCACGGGAATGCGAGACATCAGCGCGTCAAACTCTTGCAGAGTTCTGGATTAGCTCCAAAAACCCAAAAATGAACCGCAAGGAGAAGTGTTTTGTTATCACACGTGACCTCGCGCCATATTCTCAGGTTGATTCAACGAGCTGACCCAGGCACATTTCTCGCCCATGTATTTCTCCATGCGCCAGCCCTCCACCAGTTAATAAGAATGCTTGCCAAGAATAAAACGGTGGGTGTTTATTTTCTTCGTATTTTTGTTGAGCAAACGCGAGGTGTTACTATTCTTTGTTCACGGGGTGTTTAAACCAAACTGTTTATTGTGCGAATAAAAATTTATGTGTTAAGTTTTATGTGCTAAGGTTATTAAAGTGTTTGGCTGAGTAGATCGCGTACCAGTTTGTCCGTTCCAGACTATGAAGAAGGCGAGACGGCCGAAACTTCAGTTATTCTGTTTTAATAAATACTTTCATGCCAACCTCGTATTTGCTTATCGAGGAAAAACAGCGAATTATCAACCAATGCCGAGCTTAGTAGAAAGTCGGCCTTCGAACATACAAGCAAATGACATCCTGAATAGAGTTGAAGCAGTGATAACTGCGTATACGAAAATCTCAGACGCTACCCATCACTCCACTCACCGAGGACTTTGTATTGTGTAAAATCAGAAATGGCGTGTGCTATTCGCCTAATCAATGTGATTCACTCCTATGAAAGCGTATTCTGTGCAATTCGGAGTGAAAAAGGTATGAAAATTTGCTCCGCATCGACTCTAGTCTAGCAGTCGCCTGCCTTTGGCGATAACTTGGAAATGTCCTTGCACGGCTGCCCCAATTTCCTTGGAAAAACCAGCGTTTAACACGCCAATGAAAAAGACAACTTATCTTGCTGTCTTTTTGCCGCTAGTGGGAAGGTGGCCACTGATACATCCACGGATCCTTCGGTGGTTTCTGGATATAGTCATGGTGTACCGGTATGTGTTCCAGTCAAACAAGACAAAACTACATCCCGCTCAATCTGCCTCAGAGGACAAATGTCGCTTTTGTCCCATCTTTAACACTCAACTGTCACACATATCTCGAATTCTTGTTTATTAAATAAAATATGGACCAGCAAGAACAAAGGATGCACATACAAGGCCATCTACAGCCTTGTCGCAGATGATGTTCGTCCAACTGGCCTTATAATCAATTGGAGGACTGGCGATAAAAGTGATTACAGCTCTACAGAGTAATATATCCATCTTTGCATAGCAACCTGATGACGATAACCACAATTTCTTTCAAATCGAAAAACGCGGTGCCAGAAATTACCGAGGTGAAGCAATCACCTGCCGGTGGGATTGATCCGGGAGGCCCAAATCGGCAACGAACCCAGTTAAGCTGAAGCTATAGTTGAAATTCACAATGTTGACTTCTCATTTACTGCCTTTTACTAGTTTTCAGGGTAAGGTATTATTTGTGAAACAACCACAATGATGCTGAGATATTTGCAAAACTCCGGATCGCAGGTGTCTGAGGTAGGAACGAACGCGCTACTGTCCTTTCCGGGAGTAATGCGTTCACCACCACATCATGCTAGGCCTTCGTTTCGCCCGTCTCTTTCTCCTGCTATAATCACCTATGTAGTTCATTTATTTCTTAAAATGTATGACATGTTTTGGTGGAAAAAGAGTAATCAGCCATTCTTTCAAACGGACAACAAAGAAACAATGTAAAACTACGCCTTATTGCTGCCATCCTTTGTACTAATCAAACTGAGCGCTGTATAATTACTGGAAGCTGTACTTGATACTTATGGTATAATAATTAAAATTGTAAGCATAGAGTATTTAAAAGTGATAATCTAGCGACTACATAAGACTGCAACCGGTCAAATGACAAGGTTCAGCACTCTCGTATTCTAATAGACGAAATCTAACCACTGAAAAGGCACTGTGAGGGAGGTAACGCAATGAGTATGACTGGTAGAGGTTTGGCCTAATGCTCTAATATACGCAGGTTCCCGGAGACGATCTTGTTCTCCAGAAGTGATCCAGGCGGGATGTCGATACGATCGCCGTGGTTCGCTATGATGATAACTGTCCCCTGAAATAAACGAATACTGAGATGAAAATCTATACGGTAAAATGGAGTTTCCGGTGTTCATCAACCATACTGAACTGCGCTTTTCCACTTCACTAAACATCATTAGAGGTGAATGAATGCATATCTGGCTTATACAATGAGTTGCGGCCGCCTACCAATATATCAAATCACTGCTGCCATGTTGGCAGACAAGTGCAATACCAACTTGCCGACCCAGGAGGAGCGAAGGCCCTGGTGAACCCTGGTGAAGCGGAATTGAATCAATGATGTAAGGCACGGTTAACCACATGGGGACTGCGCGATTCTCTGTATTGTTCCAAGACTCAGGAAATGAACGCGTGTAGAGCAGTGGTTAGAAGTCCTCTGCAATACACCTGGGTTCGTTCTCGCGCCCCGGGTTCACCAAACCTTCCATCCCTCCGGTGTCAGCAAATTGGTGCCAAATCTATCTAGAAAGATAGCATCACTGATTCGATACTTCGGCAGGCTGTTGCGAGTCATTTAGGCCAGATATGCATTTCTCCAGCCCTAACGATGCTTGACAAAGTCGAATGCATGGTGCATCCCTCAGGGATTGATCAAAGCCGACAGCTTTGTCCTTTATCTTTATCATTACTGCGTACCTGTTGAAAATAATAAGATCTTATGGCCTTGCGATAATGGCGCTGGATAAACCACTACCGAGTGTAGATAAAAGAGTAGATGAAAATTATAAAAGACGTTTTCTTTCATTTCAAGACGTTGAAAAAGCAGGAAGACAAAGAAAGGACAAAAACAAATGCTTTTTTTCCTAAACCAGAAATGGATGCAAAGCAGTAAAACAAGAACATCAACAAATTTTAGAAAAAAAATTAACAAACGGTATATATGGGTTTTACAAAAAGATGTAACTCCGTAAAATCATGTCTTTGCTACGAACCTTTAGCGAAACGTCCTTCCCGAACCAAACATCTCCTGAGACGGTCAAATGATCCAGTTCCAAGAGATCAGGAATACCTTGGAAACGTTTCAAGAAATCTGATACCTACAAAAGGGTTTTTCACTTAACATGAAAGAACTCGAAGTTTCCTTCGTACCAAGATGATAACTGTTGGGGGTTCTGGGCCTAATTTTCCACAACTACTCAGTCAACATTCTACTGCTGAATCAGCTGTTCAGCATATATGCAGGACATCTACTTAGCGATATTCTGAGGTCAGATTTCCCAGCTTCGTTTTTCTACACATTAGAAAAAGGTTAGATCAATCAGACTCTGTTCTAATATGATTCTATTAAACGCTGTTTTGTATATCTAGCAAGATGCTAAAACCTTATGAGATATTCTACATGAGATTTATTCGGTGGAAACCTAATAAATAGACAAATATTCAATTTCATACCTTGTCGAAGCTGGATCCCAGTTTGACAAGTGGCGTAGTGGGGAATGATCTTTGCTCAGATAGAGTAAGACTGCCGTGATCGATATCGTACAAGTTCGACATCAGCAACAGCAAATCAGAGCACTTCTTCACAGGAAGGAAGCGCGAACGGGGCACGTTGATGCCTAGAAATTCGTGAAAAACCGTATTCCAAAAAGTAGCAACAAAAAACGATGAGGAGCAATTACTGGTCAAAACCATTCTAGATTTACTACATTATTTGCATGAATGGCTCATCGTTACGGAAAAGTGCGCGTTCTCCAGAACATTTCCACGCAACTGGTATTTTACGTCGACGTTCCTACGTCATCGTAACCGGTAATAGTGGGGTTGAGAGGTTTACGGTTTCGCGTCTAGATTTAAAACTGGACGACGGCGATTCTTGATTGAATTCCAGTTGAACATATGGACTGGGATTTCGAACTTCTTTATGAGCTTAGATGGCACTTCCGAGGAATGAACTCCTAGTAAACATCGTAGTTTGACAGCAAAACACTCCGGGCCAAGATGAATAGGTAAAACATGGGTGATGTCAGACCACAAACGGTGAAAATATGACCTTGAAGGTGCTAAATTTATTCTCACACATAGAATTCATATAGGGCCGTCATTATTTTCACATGAATACTCTGTGCATTTCCACTGCACTCGTTTACAAACGACAAGACACGGAAATACGTAGACCAACCGTACCACATGCTCCTTTGAAGTTCTTCACCGCAGCTCCTGCAGCCGTTTCAAGTTGTATGATGTCGAGCCCACGCTCGAGATGTTTCGGATTCACGATCACTTCCATTTCCAGCTCATTGTTCTCCACCACCCGCTTGATAGCCGACAATTTAGCCCACAAATTATTCGTGTTAAAAATTCTGGAATCGATAATCATACAGACATCAACAACGTTCATAACTTCTACATTTGTAAATGTCCTCTCTCGTTGGAATGGATATGGTTCACTCAGAAATTTCAACTATGGATATTCATGCGCCAAGCTAACATACAAAAATTCACAAAAACCATAAAACTATTCAGAATGCCATGAACGCTGATAATAAAGGCGATTCCGATTGGAAGAATGATACAATGTAATATCCCAATTTTTAATGGATATCTTACAAAAAATAACTCTTTTCAAAATTCAGCTGAAATCAAGGTAAGTTAGTAAGATAGTTACTGATGAACACAATGAAAAAGATTGGGCATTACAATGGACCCAACAAAACTTTTGAACGAACCGAAACTTGCTGATCGACTTGAACTCATCCACATATTCCTTCGGGACCTGAGCGATCTCAAGAAGCATAGGCTTGTCCTCGTACTGTATCAAAGTGCCACCCTTCACATCTGCCCGAGTTTTGTTGGTTACCTGCAAACTCCACCGTACAACAGGCACTGACGACTTAAGTCTACACCTAGTTGCTAACCGGAAATCATTGAAAAGGCAGATTACAACTGGAGATTACAGATTACATCTCACCTCCATCAAAAACTCGGGCTGTTCATCTCTATCTGGTGGCGACAGCAGGAAGTTGAGAATGGAAAAGTCGACCGTCGCACCCATGTTGTCAATATTGGAGAGGAAGCAATACTATAAGCAGCAGAATACCAAAGATGAACAAGATTTTGTAATTATCACAGAAAAAGAACAAACCTCTTTACCATCAGCAATGAATTTTTCCAGGAGTCCTGAATTATAAAGAGCTTCATAAAAATTTCCGTGCCCAGGTGGATACCAGCTAAAACCAAAGATAAACAAAAATGACTTGCATGTTTGCACTACAACGGAACGGCCCATATAGACACTATAGTGTCCATACCCAGTTTAGTGGGTTACAGAGTTTATTTTTACCGCATTATGTATATTCATTCAATATGTTCGAAAAACGATCGAAATAAGAGGGGTGAGACCAGAAAAACCATTACTTACACCTAACGATTTACAAAAAACCTTTTTTTCGAGAAGTTCCATTCATCGGTAACATGATCAACAATTAACTGTTACTTCATTTCAATCACTATGGTCATTGCACCATGGATCTCTCTCATAGAGGGATCTCGAGCCAGCTGGTCGCTAGGCTACGTGGCTCGTCTCTATGTGGCGTATAGGCGGTTAATCGCGGACCAAAAACAACTTTTGCTTATTTGAGATGCAGATGGATCCAGGGGATGGATTCCCTCTTTCTGTTGCCCGATATGGCACATACCTCTTGTATTTATGAGGATCTATTCATGCATACGTGCGTGGGTGTGTTCTCATTCACGCGGGTTGTATTCTACGAGTCAGTTCGGCCAAAGGCCTGCAAGTAACAAGGAAGTATTTGGGAGGCGGTTAGGAGTCGCCTCCAACAAATAAGCTCCACGTCTACTCTGAGACAGAAAGGCAAGCTATTCGTGAGTATAACCAGTTCCAGCGTTCGGAGCTCAGCAAGCTATACGTGGGTAACAAAAAGCTAAACACAGTAAAGTAAACGGGAATCATTATCCTGACCCCAAAAGAGCACCCAATTCGGCAGCGTTGGGTAGGACGAGTACGGAGATGCTGTTAAAATCTCAGAGCCAATGGAAGCTGCCTGGGTTACAAAGAACTAAAGTGACGATCTATACTTACAACACAGGCACACTAGTATCTGAGTCCCCAACTGAAGACTTGATCATGCAATAACGACGTCATCGGCCCGGCCGAGACGAAACGACGCCACCCATTCAATGCCGTCTATGACACCGGAAAAAAAACTGTTCCTCGGAACATGCGACAGTAGAGGAGTCGGCGGCGTCGGCGCTGTTGTCAGTACGACTTTGCCCATGAACATCGGTTCATTCGAACAACTAACGACCCGAATGGAACGTTTACGATTAAGAAGACGTGGATCAATTCCGGCTTTGACAATGTTCGTCGGTTTACACATCAACATCAAGCATTGACGGAGATGAAGCCGAAACGTTATATATAAACTTGGAAAAGTTCTACAGAGAGGGCCATACATTCTTTAATATCATCAAAATGAAGATTTCATCGCTATGACTAGACCCAAAAGAATATCTGAAGAAGACCACATTGGGACCCACGGATTAGAACAGAAAGAAAAGAGTGGGCGGCTGTAAGAGTTTATCACAACGACCACGGCCGTTCATGGTAACTGGCAATTTCACAAGCGCCACCCTAAACGGTGCACGTGGTAGTCTCCCAAAGGAGAGTACCATAACGAACTAGACCATATCAGAGTAAATCGAAGGTATTGCCTAACTGATGTCCCTGTGATTGCAAACTCGACACGGAATCAAACCATCGCCTCTTTCGTGCAAGACAACATTTCTCGCGAAAAAGAGAAAAAGTCGCTTAATTAAAAAACGAAATTAAAAACCACGATGAACTGGGCTTCAGTTCATTAGTCGGCTATTGGAAATATGCCGTTCTTGATAACATCAACGAGGAATACGACCGGCTCATTCAACATCTCCTCGTTGGCGCTATGAAAGCTTAGAGTTCGGAAGTCATCAAAAGACGTCGTTTTTCAGGAGCACACGAGCTGATATTTAAGGATGAAATCGCACGAGCTACAGGGAACCGCCAACTCATGTTCGAACTTGCTAAACAACGAACACAGGCGATAAAGGAAGACCTTTAGTAGAGAAGAGCACCAGTTATGATCAAAGCTGCACAGGTTGGGAAAAGCATTTGCAAAGACCTCGGTTTCGCCAATTATTGATTGCCCAGATGATTACACTCCGACGCCCAGACACAACAGTTACAGTTTCCAAAAAAGCAATGGAGAAAATCATTCATGAACATTATGGACCTCTTCAATAACAACATCCTGCTGCTGTCATACGAAATAAAGGATGGATGTGTCGTCCCGACGGTTCTCCTTTCCCAAATCGGGCATGCTGTTTCGTCGGTGAAAAATCGAGCAACACCAGGTCCGGCGAGGATAAGATCTGAACATCCGAAGGGCCTTCCGCCAGTCTTCATGGAAACACTGATTCGACTCTTCGCATGTCATCTGCCTAAATGCAAGGTCCGTACTCAGTGTGAGATCAGCAAAACCGTGCTATTGTTCAAGAAGGGCGACCTCCACGATATCGGCAACTATCGCCCTATCTGCTTACTGTCTGTTTACAAACTTTTCATACCATTCGTCTTAAACAAGACTGATAGAACACTGGACGAAGGACAGCCATATGATCAAGCAGAGTTTCGAAAAGTATTCAGTAGGACGGATCATATCCACACGATAACAAAACTCAATGAAGTATTGCAAGAGCATAAGAGACAACTCTGCCTCACATCTGTCGATTTAAAGAAGGTTTTGGAATCATTTGAGAGAGAAGCAGCCACAGAAGCCCTGGACAACCAGGGAGTCCCTAATCAGCATATAAAGATCCTTCGTGCGCTGCACAAAAATTTCACAACCCAGATACCACCATTCTACGACGACATTAACATGGACTTCTGAAGAGGGGTTAGGCAAGGCGATACCATCTCGCCGATATTATTTACCGCAGCCCTCCAGAACGTCATGCGAACGTTGGAATGGGAGTGAAAATCGATGGTCGGCAGTTACACCATCTTCGCTTTCTTGATGACATCGTCTTTATAACACCAAACATTAGCCAAGCGGAACGTATGATTGCCGACTTTGACAAAGTCTGCAGAAAGATTGTTCTTCGACTAAATCTCACAAAAAAAGATGTTCATGAGGAATGGATTGGTTTCGCATGCCCTATTCACGCTCAACATAATGAATGTCTCCGAATACTCCAGTTACGCCTTTCCAGGTGGCGAAGTGACCATGATGAACGACTTAGTTCCGGAGAGAAGAACGAAATGAGCGACTTGGAGAGCTTTCAAGACTATTGAGGCATGTAGTGAAGAGAACAGAGTGTTAGAAAAAATTGGTCCTATTCTACTTGGCTAGCCAGGCAAAACGGCGCCAAGGCGTTATGGATTAAGAAGACAGAGTACCGGTGTTCTGAAGGAAAACCATTTCCAGACTATAAGTTAGTAGTCAACAAATGGAAGTTGATTACATCTGACTTTAACATTTTAGAACACTTTTCAGTGCCACGTTAAAACGTCGCTCTAATCGCCGTGATCTAGACGCACTATAGGCGGATTCATATCACAGCCCCGTTATCAATCTAACCAGCCTCTCCGGCTCTCCTTTTCGGCTATTCCTTTCTTTTCCGGAGAGTATCGTTTTCGTCTCTACTTTTTGTGTCACAAGTTCCTACGTCTTTAACCAACACATTCCGTAATCGTTCTAAACAATTCCACTCCTGCAAACATTTTGGTACTAAACAAGATTGGAATTGGCAAAAAAAAAAGACCCAATGAAAGAATCCCACTTCTGGTATTTCACAGCGGAAAATTTTCTTTTTTGAATCCAAGAAAAACAGATGTAGTATCAGGCCCATAACGACTAAAACTGCAAGTAAAGTGCTTTCATTCATTGCACCAAAATGTATGGTATTCACCTTATGCAGTTACATCCAAATTGTTCACTATAGGTGAAACAATCTAATACAAACAAACTCAAACTTCGGTAAACTGCGATACTCCTATATCTGATCTAAGCAATGACTTGCGATGAGCCAATGATGTACCAAGCCAGTGTTTTTTTTTTACCTTGCCATACATGTCTATTACTAATTTGCAAAAACCCTGGTTGAATAGATGGCTTGGTGAACCCCGCGCGAAGAATCGAACCAAAGACCACGTGTGTATCAAGGGATATCTCTAATCACTGTGCTAAATGAAGGCAAGACGGTGGTGCATGATTGATTGAAGCTAGAAGATCTGTTAGATAAGGTGCACTTCTACGCCATAAGCCATTAATTCTACATCTTCTTAAATGAACGACTTTGCTTCGGCCAAAATTACAACACCAATGATTGAGTACGAAAGTTTTGATGTTCTTTCAATTGTTCAGAGACCTATTACGGAAAAAAATATCCCCATATTTTTATTACAATGACGCTACTATGAAACATCTGACCGTACTTGGTGAATGAAATTCCCAGGTAAAGAATGGGTTGCTAACAGCTCAGTAATATAGTCACTTTAAAATTACTACCTCAAAACATTTTCCAAAATTTAATTCCTAACATATTTAGAAGAAATATCGGAAGCAACGAACCATTCCATATCGGTATCGTTAAAAGATTTGGCAATTGGCATAAGCGTTTCTCGATTGATACGCGGATACTGCGACTGACAGAAGGTGTGTACCGACACCTAAGACAGAAGTAGTAGAGTATCTACCTATTCATAAGAACCTACATAAGGGTTACCAGAATCAATGAAGTTCAACGAAAACTTGATCTACGACTTCCGATAAACCAACCTTTACATTTGCATACTTCTTAAGAACTTTATTTGTGTCGTCTTCGGTATTGAATGAATTCATTAACACCAGTGGGACGTCGACGCCATAGGTCTTATTCAAAGTCTGTGAAGAAATCGGATATAACGAATTTTCTGCGTATCTAACTATCTTGTATGAAAAAGAACAAACATGATGTGACACTGCTTACTACTACAATAAATTAATGATCACCCAGTGAACACAGTCAGTCTTTCAACCAAACCCGATTGCACCGCACTTTTTCTCTGTCCATTTACCTGCCGGTTCAGCTTTTATTACTGGTTAACCTACAGCTATCTAGTGATTATATTACACCGAAGATTTCATGTGCTGTTCAACTGAACCATTACAGAATTCCACCAAAACGCCTGTTAACGCCGTTGTCGTAGTAACTCTTCGTTTGCTTTGCAATGGGATGAAAATATGTGAATCGCCCCTTTTTTTCTTAAACGAGATCGGGATGAACACTTAAAGGCATCGATTTTCGCTCGAAAACTAACTTCAACGGGAGTACCATATACGCGATTTTTGACGGAAAACCATAAAGAAACACAATACAATATAACACTAGCTGACGTTTCGGCAGTATCGCCTTCTTCAGACCCGCTTTTTCGTGACTTCCAATGAGGAAATTTAGAACAGCTGATTATAGTCGCATACGGTTGACGACTCAAGTCGATTCATGCGACTATAATCAGCTGTTCTAAACTTCCTCATTGGAAGTTACGAAAAAAGCGGCTCTGAAGAAGGCGATACTGCCGAAACGTCAGCTACTGTTGTATTGTGTGGTGTTTTTCTATGGAAGTAAATGTATGCTGTTTAAAAACCTCGCGATTGCTGAACAAGAAAACGACACATTCATATTCCAACATTGTGTTTTTTATGGAAGTAAATGTATGCTGTTTAAAAACCTCGCGATTGCTGAACAAGAAAACGACACATTCATATTCCAATGCCGAGGTTAATAGAAAGTCGATCCTGGGAAAACCATAACTTCTTCACCCACTGAAACAGTGCCCTGCACGAAAGTTGTCGTTACCTGAATCTGCTGCAGCGTGAGGTCGAGGAACGTGAGCTCATTCCGCACAGGAATCACGGACTTCGGACCTTTGCATCCCATCGAAGTGCCAAGACCACCGTTTAGCTTTACAACAATCAACTTCTTCAGCATTGACTTAATAACCTCATCGTCAGTCGGATGCTCTAGCTGAAAAATACCGCAGATTAAGACATCTGATACCAGTGATCGCTCCTTTAACCTCCGAAAATGAACACTGAATCGACCCATAGTTCAAAAATAACGAATGTGTCAATTAGACACCATCTCGTGTTCTCTTTTAAAAAAATCGGGACAGATGTACTTTTCAAAGAATCATCTCAAAACACGAGAGACCAAATAGTCCTGAACTGCTCAAAAGAAACTCCGTGAGGTCAGAACCGATGAAAACGGTGGAGATCCATCAAGTCGAAAGATGGTGAATAAAAATGGCAACGCAAACATCTAGCATTATGATGAGGAAACAATTTCTTTAAATTTTGAAGTTGAAACTAAGAAATTGATGAATTTGGCTCCTGCGCCAAAACCGTGACACATTTCGTATCGTTCGGGGAACGATTTTCCTCTGAGCAGTTCCGGTTCGCGACAGAGATGAATGGAGACTTTACTAGACCCATTCAAATGACTCAATAATTAAACGGTAATCCAGGATGTGTAAATTACGTCAAAAAGTGTTATAAAATGACGCATTTTAGTCACAATATGTCGTGTCAATATAGACAGTTTGGTCTCCGAAACTCTTCTTGTTGGTACAAAACGGTCGTGCGCCAAACCCCATATACACATGATTCAGTTCTTCTGGGAAAAAAACCAACTCGTTTTCACAGCGTTAACTCTTTGCTTAATACTTCTCACGGCAATTTATGATGTCAAACACAATCACTGTGAAGCTGAGATATTTGCAAAACTTGGACCTCATGCCAGATCGAACCGCGATTACCCTTTCCGGAGCTCACGTGTTACGCACTGCACCACAGGTCATTGTTTTGCCTTTCTCTCAGCCAGTTTCGCAAACCCGTTTTCGTCTGCCGTATTTTTGGGCATTGAATGAATTCTTTCACATTGCACTGAGTGCCAAAAACCCTGGAATCTTTTCCGAAATAGTGACTCTATTTCTTTATTCATGTTAATAAATGTTTAAAGAAACGTCTATGTGTAGCAAAAACAGAAAGGAACAAGATGAGGCGCGTACATGCTTGTATGTCCTAATGGCGCCCTCTGGCAAAGGCTGAATCTTTGACCAGTCGACGTAAGTCCTGGCCCGAAGAAAACGTGTGAACAGATTCAGAAATCCCGACATCTCCTTCTGATTCTTCTAAAACACCCTGTTCTATAGTCGTGATGTACTTTGAAACACAATCAAGAAAACTCGAAACAAATCACATGGAAATTGGTAAAAAAAAATGTGATAATAAGGACAACTACTAGGAGTATATTTAAGAAAAGAAAACTAAACAAGTTCCTTAAACGAACTAGATCACGATAAAATTGGAATGTAATGGTTGTAGCTCATAATAGTTGGCAGAAACTCTTAAGAGATTTGGACAATTTACATCCTTAGCATTCTGATTTTTGAATTCTTCCCAGAAGTTCTACACTTTTGCTGGATCGAATCAAAAATGATCTTGCCCTTTCTTAATTCAAGTTAAACCAAATCTAATCAACGAAAATTTGAAGAGACATCGTTGACCTCATGCTTCAAACAATGCCTTATATTTGAAAAGCAATCTGAATTTCGATCATTCAAGGCAACATTCATTCAACAAAGATAAGAGCCAAACGTCTTCCGGAAAATTAGCGATTAGTATTCAAGATTCACCTCCATATCCTCCCTTTTGGAAGTAAGAAGAAGCTTCGACAATTCCTGCTCCAGTGCACCCAATGTTTCCATTTTCGTTGAGGTTTTCCACTCTTCGGAGCTCTAAACAAGCAAACTGATAACAACGAGAATAGGCGATCGCCAAATAAATATTTTACACTTGATATTTATATCTTATCGCTAAATATTTTTAAACAATAAAAAGCAAGTGGTAACCAGAAAATGGATTCCACTTCATAAGAAAGATAGCGCGTCATGATTGGTACTCCTCTATTCATAAGAAAACAATTGCTTCGCACCTATCAGTTCTATAACACTTTCAGATTTCTTTTTTAAAACATATGGGACCTTATAATCTAACATGCCTTTAAAAAGCATTGCATTTTATGTTTAGAAAATGCTAGCATCAACACTGTGCAAAATCCAGCACTCGTCGAAGGAAATGCTAGATCGGACTTCAAACACCCAGCAAAGTTGTCCTGTAGTCCAGAACTCCCACACCAAGTCAGGTGTCCACACATTCCTCTCATGCTTTACTTTTATGTGTCTTATACGACTCAGAAATAATGACCTGGATGCTGCATGCAACACTATAACTAAGAACGCACTCGATTATGCATGACTTTGTGGGAACGTCGACACAACGCTATAGAAAGACCAACAACTACTTGCAAGAGCTGGCAGTGTATTAAAATTACTCTAGAAGTGAGACGTTGAATTTTTTAGAAATTTCATCAACACGGTCCTTCCAATCTGCTACAATATACAGTATTACTTGAAACCTTGTTAAGAGACTCCAACGATACCGAATGGTAACCGCCGGATGGTTAGCAGGGAACACGATCCCAGTGAACAGAGTTCGATAGGAAGTTCGTTAATGAGACTTCTTTACAGGGCACTTTTAATATTCAGTTTGACCATCAAAGTGGGGGCCGTTAGAAAAAGCACACGACAGGAAATATTCAAGCGGCTTCTTCACTAGTGATCCATAAAATCCCATAAGCTTGGAAACCTAGGGATATTCTTGCACCAAATACCCATTAAACATTGGAAAGCATAATAGACAAGCATAAACGGAGATCGAGGATACCAGGACTATCGAGGTTTGGTTCAAAAAAGAAAACATAACCACGGACCGAAAATCACGAAACATAAACCACTGTGATCTAAACTAGCTATGTGTCTTGACATCTACTGTAAACCACATCAAATCAAGCACTGAATCACCGGGCACACTACTGAAAACAAGACCGCTGAAAACTTTTGGAAGATCAAATCGAGGTCATATGCTTAAGCATGGTAGCAACAAATGTGTTGCCGGTAAACATACACCAGATTCTCTTAAACCACCACGGAAACACTCGACAAAAAAGCCTTACTCTGTTAACAAAAAGAGTTCAAATCATGGTTTTTTTTTGCATGATCCATTTTCTTTCACATCTGCTGTGCGGATCCCAGCACCTCTCTCATTCGTTTCCTCGCATTCGTCATCCACGACAGTCTTCCAACTTTTCCACAGGTGGATTCGGCTGCTGCTTGAGGACTTTCCTTCCATCTCGAACGTTACTGAATGCTGGTAGAGTCGATTCTCCCTAGAGTCCTGAGGTAGCCGGGCTAGAGCGTTCTCACATAAACTGCAGACCGTGATTTTTCCCAGAAAATTCGGGTACGATTTCCCGACCTCGGAGTTGAGAGGCTTGGTGAGCCCGGAGAGATTGAACCAGCATCGTGCTCGTGGTGACCGGCATCACCACTATTGTCTTATCCGACGCTAAATCATAATTAAATTTTTCAATTTATCTGACCTCCGGAAAAGGCAGATATCTGAAGAATCTTCGTGGCTACACCAACACTGTTTTGCTCACATGTAGTCGCCTGCTGGGCAACGGGCATTTTATTCACGGATGTGCGTATGCGACGTATCCTTTTTCACCGATGCGAACCGACGGGTGTCTCGAACGGCACATAGAACGTTAACAAGATGTTATTGTACCGTACACGACACTGCAGCTATGGTCACATAACATTGTACTTTCACGTTTTATGAAAATTTCCGATCAATGACAGACCATTAGAGTTAACATCTTCGCAACCACTTGGCTTGCATGTGTGAGCGAGAACAATCTATACTTTCAACTATAAACCAGTACATTTCCATTCACAGTGAATATATGAATAAAATACGAATCACTGGGAACTAAAATCGCCAACAGTGCAAATTTACTTTTTCACCATGAACGGCCGGCCCACTACCTACAGCCCAGGAACTTATTTATTTCGCGTTTTATTTTTATTAAAGCTCGTAGTCCGAGCAGCAAAGCGGTTGAACGAACAGAATTCCTTTCAGCAGCGTGCGATAGCGTTCCGAATGTTTCGCTGGTGCTTGAGGCTGCCAGGGTTGTATTAGAAAAGTTGAACTATTTTCTCTAGTACTTTTAAGTGCTCTACTTAACGGAAACGATAAGCAGCAGTTACTGAAAAAGCGTTGTCGTCTCGAATATGTTAAATGAATGATTAAGAATAATCCGATCTCACAGAATAAATTCTTGCGATGAGTTCAAGTGTGGCGACATGTTCGCTACGCCAACGGCAACTGGGATCACGGACATCAGAACAGACGAATACACTGCTAATTAACTCTTGTTCACAATGCTGCCCATTAACAATGGCGATGAGAAGTTTTTCAATAACGGAGTTTGATACCGAACAAGGTAATGAAAATGTCTCGAATATCACAAGTGGGAGTGTTCGCACTACAATATGACTAAGAATGGAAATTTTATAGGAATCGAAGACGCAAAACAAGATCGCCCTACACATATGAGCAGGAAAAAAAAGCGCTTGAAAACCTACCAGCTCGGAGTTACCAATCGACCGACCGTGATGTTGCATTTTGTAGCTCTAAGAGTTACCAATGACGGACGAAGCCTACATTAAATTATCAAATCACACACAATTATTGAACGCCGAATAACGCATATGTGATCGAAAAAAAAGAATTGATGGAATGTCAACAATATGTGGACAAGATCGATGTACTGAATCAGTTCACTTCATCAGTGTGGTTCGACTCTAGAAAACCACAGAACACTGATAGATGATGATGACAAGAGAACGACCGCAACTGGAGACGGTTGAATCGCATGTGGGGGCAATGGCGGCCCGAGTGGGAACGTTTCTGGGTGGTCAGCAATTGTATACGTAGGTCGAGCACACGGTCATAGTAGACCGCACACGAGACGTGGCCTATTTTGGCGGCCGAACAGAGAACGCATCGATAACACTGCCATCACCCAGCGATCACCGTCCGGATGTATGGCTACTGCCCAACGCCAGAGCGTGAGCGGGAGTTGAATCCGAACAAAGATAGCCGGTTACTGGTTGTTCGAGACGATGAGATTTCTTGAATCTGAACATTGTCTGAACGTGAAAAATTTCCGAGTGTTTTCGTTTAGAATGCACACTTTTCAAGAAATAGGTCACAACAAAACTTGCTCAAAATACCCGCCATGAATGTTCTCATAATGAAATGGGACTATATAAAAACCATTCTCTAATTTATAGACAATAAGGCTAAGAAAAATAAAGCTCTCCAGCGTTGATCAATCCCTGAGAGATGCACTATGCGTTCGACTTCATTAAGCATCGTCTGGAAGTGATTGAATGCATATCTGGCCTTTACAATGACTCACGGTGGCCTACTGATGTATCGAGCCAGTGCTGTTATCCTCCCAGACAAGTCCGGTACTAATTTGCCGACCCCAGAGGGATGGAAGGCTTTGTGGTCCATGGGCGCTGGGATCGATTCCACGTGTGTGTTGCAAGGCACCTCTGACCACTGCGCCACACGCGTACAGGCAATACTCTGTATAATCATAACATCACAAATTTCTACGTTATCTGAATATTCCGAATGTTGTCATCTAGGGTACTAAAAAATCACTTTGCTTGATAAGTTTTCCATCTATGTCAGCTATGTCACATGTTCGCCGGAAAACGCTCTGTGACGTCACTACATGTCAACAACAGCACACGTGTAAAAACCTTGGTTGAGAGGAGAGTCACGGTCAATGAACCAGCATCTACCTACAGACGGTATGTAGAAAACGGCATTATTTTTTTTCCATTTCTCTAGCCCACTACTCTTCCGACGGTCAGAAATAACTAAGTCCAATCGCATGGTATTATGTGTGACACAAGAAAAGTGGTGATGAGACATTTGCGAACCCGGAAAGCAGGTTTCTGAGGCGGGAATGTAACGTTTCTCTTAGCTAGTTTTCTATCTACCAGTGCCATCAGCAAACGCTCATCAACGGGATTGATTTGGGGAGCACAAATCGGCATTGAACCCGGTTAAGCTGAAACTATATCCGAAACCACAATGTTAACTTTTTTATTTACTGCCTACTACAATGTTTTACGGCGCGGTATTATGTGAAATACAGTAGATAGATAGAAATAGCAGATACAAAACTAGCTGATTGAAAGGCGAAACGAAGTAGCCATATGGTGTGGTGGTGAATGCATTAGCCCCCAGAAAGAGTGATAGCACGTTCGTTCCCCACCACAGACACCTGCGGTCCGGATTTTTGCAAATGTCTCAGCACTACCGTGGTAATGTCTAAACAATTACCTAATTCGAACTCATAAAGTCTTCTAACGTAACAGAATGCTTTGAAAATTTCATTTTGTAGAATATTGAAAGCCTCCAGCGAATAATTATGATTAAGCAATTTTCTTCTAAATCCATAGTATACTCGTGATACTCTTACTTTTACTGCGCACCACACTACTGTTCAGCATGCCATGAGCTAAAGTAAAGTATGCTCGTTCTGACTGTTGTCAACTTAAGCTGTATTGAGTTCAAAGCACGAAGCAACGACGATGTTGAAGTAGAACATCGACAAAGTGTCGACTTCATAATGTTGAAGACAGCCGAGTTTTTATACCCAAATTTCATATCAAAAAGGACACAGTAGATGTGCTCAACCTAAGCATTGGAATTCAACAGAACTGATAACAAATGGTCGGTGTGGCCGACGACATACAACAGCGTAGTCATTATTCACTGAAACCGAAGTGTACTATGGGTGATGAACCTC